GGGGGTGGTGGGGTGGGGGTGGGGAGCGTTGTGGAGTGTGCGGATGAGAGGAGATGCAGCATCGCATCTGGCCAGCCGCGCCTCCGTGCACAGCGCTTGCCTGCCCTCGATGACTTGCCGGCTGCGCCCCGCCCCGCCCCTCCCCTCCCGCCCACTCCGTTCCTCCCTCCCTCCCCGCCTGCCCGCAGGTGTACCTGGCCAAGTGGCGGGAGACGACGGTGGCGGTCAAGGTGCTGGGCGCCATGGGCACCGGCACCTCCCCCGGCCTTGACGACGAGTTCCCGGACGCCGCCGCCTCCAAGGGCCACCCGCTGTACGACTCGCTGCAGAAGGAGGCGGCCATGATGGCCTCGCTGCGCCACCCCTCCATCGTCATGTACCTGGGCGTCTGCCTGGACCCGCCCGCCGTGGTCACAGAGTACTGCGCCAGAGGTGGGGGTGGGGGTCGCAGGGGTGGGGGTGGGCCCTGGGAGGACGGGGGAGGGAGGCCTGCGGTCGCCCCTCCTGACGACAGGCCCAGGCCTGACAGCAGGGCAAGGGCTGGCCGGCGCCGGCGCCGGCCAGCTGGCTGCTGGTATGGTGCGCATGGGCTGCACGGCGTGCCCCCCTTTCCACACGGCGCCGACCGTGCCCCCTCCCCTGCCCCGCCCGCTGCCCTGCGCGCGCAGGCTCCCTGAACGACGTGCTCAAGCGGGCGCGCACCTCGCCGCTGCTGGCGGCGCAGCTGGACTGGGCGCGCCGCCTCAACATGGCGCTGGATGCGGCCAAGGGCATGCTGTACCTGCACTCCTGCTCGCCGCCCATCATACACAGGTGGGTGGTGGTGGTGGGGGGGGCTGGCTGGGTGTGAGGCAGCGCATGGCGGGCCCCGGATGCGTGGGTTTCTATGCTTGCCGCTGCTGGGCACTGAGCTGATCCAGTATGTGTGTGTGCCCTGCGCCCCGCCCCTCCCCCCCACCTGCCTCCCCCCAGGGACCTGAAGAGCGCCAACCTGCTGGTGGACCGGCACTGGCGCGTGCGCGTGTGCGACTTCAACCTCAGCCGCGTCATGGAGGACAGCGCGGTGCTGTCCAGCGTGGCGGCCACCAACCCGCGCTGGCTGGCGCCCGAGATCCTGTCGGGCAAGGGCTACACCTTCGCCTCGGACGTTTACAGCTTCGGGTGAGGGAGGGTGTGGGGAGGGTGTGGGGAGGTGCAGCAGCAGCGCGCTGCCCGGCCCCTGTCCTGCCGGCCGTGCCTGCCCCTGCCCCTGCCCTTGCCCTGCCCTGCCCTGCTGCACCCGCTGGCGGGGCCCTGTGTGGCGCGCAGGGCGCTCGCTGATCCCTGCTGGCTTGCGTGCCCCCCCTGCCTCCCCTCCCCGCCCTCCCCTGCCCCTGCAGCATCTGCATGTGGGAGGTGCTGACGTGGCAGGTGCCCTACCACGAGTACGGGCCCTGGCAGGTGGTGGCCATGGTCACCGAGAGCGCCAAGCGGCCAGAGGTGAAGGGCTGGGGGCGAGGCATCGTCTTCGGCACGCTGCGTTGACGCCCGCGCGCTGGCCTGCCCCCTGTGGCTGCCAACCAATCCGCTGCCTGCTGCCCGAGGAGCGCTGCTGACGCGCCGTGCCCGTGCCGCGCAGGTGCCCGCGCCCGAGGACCTGCCCACCGCCATGTTTGGCGGCGGCGACGACTACCTGCGCCTGATGCGCGAGTGCTGGGCGCAGGACCCGGCCGACCGCCCCACCTTTGCCGCCATCATCTCCCGCCTGCGCCGCATGCTGGCCACCGAGGCCAGCCTGAGGCGCGAGTCGCCCACCAAGATCCCGCGCGGCCTGTCCAGCCTGTCCACGGGCGCGGGGGGCAGCGTGGGCGGCGGCCTGGGCGGCGGCCTGGGCGGCGACGAGACCCCCGTCTCCCGCTCCCGCCTCACGTCCCTCACAGGCGGCGGCTCCGACGCCTGCCTCTCCCCGGAGCGGCGCAGCACGCTGGGGGAGGAGAGCGACTCGGATACGATGGGGCTGTCAGCCAGCCCCTCCATGCTGTCGGGCCTGGGGGGCGCAGGGGCCAGCCCGCCGAAACGGCGGCCCAGCAGCGTCAACGGCGGCGCCGCCGTGCTGCGCCAGCTGTCCTCCATCATCGGCGGCGGCACAGACGACGCCGAGGTGGCGGCGGCGGCAGACGCGGCGGCGGCGGCGGCGAGACAAAGTGACGGCGGCGCGCCGCCCGCGGGATGAGCGCCAAGCCGGGCCGGCTGCTTGCGGCAGCCAGGCCCACCCATGATACATTTCTGTATACTCCTTGGGGGCCTAGAGAGGCTGGTGGGGGCCAGGCATCCAAGACGCCAACGCCCCGCCGCCTGCTTTCCAAGCTTGCTCCTGCCGGCCCAGCTTGCTCCTGCCGGGGATGCTTCCTCTCCTGTTTGTATTCACCCTTACTTTACTGCCTACTCAATTACAGCTTTTTCCGGCGGCTGTAATCCTACCCGTCGCAAGGCTGAGCAGAGGGACTGCAGGGAGGCATCCACACTCGGCAGCAGCTGGCAGCCGGGGACGGGGGCGGCTGCTGCCGCTGCGGGTGGCTGCGGTGGTGCCCCTGCCATCAACCCGCTGCACACCTGCTGCTGCAGCTGCTGGTACGGCATGTCTGCAAGCTGCTGCCCGCCCTGGCCCTGCTCCTGCTCCACCTCCTGCAGCCTGCTGCGCAGGTCTGCGGGCAGGCGCGGCGCCAGCGCGCGCAGCGTCGCCGCTGCGCCGCGGGCTGCGCCGCACTCAAAGCCGGCCGCCGCCCCCAGGCGATACCCTGCATGCAGCGTCCATGCAGCGCACCGGTTGGTTTGCAGCTTCAGGCAGGTGGCAGCTTGCAGGCCCAGGCAGGCGGAACAGGGGAGCAGCAAGCGGCGGAGGCGCACCTTCGTCAAACCCCTCCTGCACCGTCTCATGCTTGCCCGCCTCCAGCCCCTCCCTGTACCCGCCGCTGAAGTGCTCCTCACGCCGTGCCCGCCACTCTCGGTCCAGCTGTTCATGGCCAGGCTCCTCCTCGCCGTCGTCAGCGCCCCAGATGTGGTCGGCACCTGGAGGCGGTGGCAGGGCGGTGGCGGCGGAAGCGGGTTGCAGCTGTGGCGGTCGTTGCGTTCCGCATTGCTGCAATCCCACGTCCGATCATGGCCATCAGCGTGGCAAATTGCAGCACCGTGTGCAGCGCGCCTCACCTTCGTCGGCTGTGTGCTCTCTTCCTGAACGCCCATTGATTACACTGTCTCTGGTTTTCAGTAACTCCAGAACAAACACAAAGGTCCAAGCGCTGCGGGTGCATCATCACGCCACGCTTTGCTGCCGCGCTGTGCTCCGCTGGCGTGCCCCGCCCTGCTGCGTGTGCTCCCTTAGCCTCACTTGTTCCAGACGAAGGGGCAAGGCATTACACAGGCCAAAACAATTCGTTCTCGAACATATGCAGATACAGGGCAGAGAAGACGGGAGGTAGGGAGGTTCAGGGGGGGGGGCCGGGTGCGGCAGCGCGGTCGTGCAAACGCCGCGACTCGCGCCCAAAGAATCGGAGGGTGTGGGGCTCTACAAGTGCTTGCTAATTTTTTATCTTGTTCACTTCTTCTTCTTCTTGCCCTTGCCCACAGGCTCCGGTGGGGGCGCCGGCTCCGCCGCCTTCTGCACCCCCAGCGCCTTTGCCACCATCACAAACGAGATGCCGCCAATCATGTTGTTCAGGCCGCGGATGACGGATGTGACGACGCGGAAGGCGCTGGAGGGGACCAGCGGCTGCAGGACCTGCAGCAGCGGGCAGCGGCAGGCAGGCAGCGGTGGGCGAGCTGCGAGCGGCCGGCGGGCCCCGGGCCATGGCAGCGGTGCTGCGCAGGCTGCGCAGGCGGCGACAGGTCTCCCACACAGGGCAGGGCTGTCATGCGGGCGCACCATGTCCAGCCCGTTGAGCATCTGGTAGCGTGCGTTGCTGGAGACGCCCATGTGCAGCGCCCAGCACGACGCGTTGCCCAGCACGCTGGGGGGCTGGTTCTGCGGGGCAGGGGAGGGGGTCGGGGGGCGGGGCGGACAGCCAGGCAGGCATCAGAGGTGGAAACATCCTTCCGATTGCTGCGAGTCGAGCATTGCACCGTCCCTGACCAACGTTGCGCCCCGCTGGGCCCCAGCGCACACACCACACCGCCCACCACACCCGCCACACCACCGCCACCACATGCCGCTGCCACCCACCGGCGGCTGGAAGGCTGGATCCATCTTCTTGCGCAGCTCCAGCAGGCCGTTGGACGTGGCGGTGCCCACCAGCCCCGCGCACATGCCGATGAAGGCAAAGACGGCGCCCTTGTAGGCGAAGTTGACGGCGCGCGCGCCCAGCGCAAAGCCGGGCTCAAACATGTGGCCCGTGGGGGCGGCCCAGGCGCGCAGGTAGTGCTCCCCAAACACCTTCTGCACCAGGCCCAGCTGGGCGCCGGCGCCAGAGGCGGAGGCCACGGGTGCCAGCAGGTACATGAGCGCAAAGTTGACGATGGAGCCCACCTGAGGGAGGGGAGGGGGGCCAGGAAGGGTCAGGGGCCGGGCTGCCTGCCGTGGATAGCCAGGGCGGCGGGTAGGCCGTGGCGGCGGGCGGACCCCGATGGGCACGTTGCATGCAGCTGCCCCCCTCCGCTTGCTCCCACCAAGCCTTTGATGACCGCACAGCCCCGGGCCCCAGCCCCAGCTCACCACCAGCGTGGCAAACACAAAGTCGAGCTCCTTGAGGCCCCAGTTGGGGCGCGAGGCCATGTCGCCCACCACGCTGGCTGACACGCCGATGACCTGCTCGATGACCACCTTGTACACAAACTGGGGGTCGGCGGCCACCCGGTCCTGCCACCCCTTCCAGCCAGCCACCGGCTTGGGCGCCGGCTCGGGCGCCGGCTCCTCGTCGTCGCCGCCGCCGCCGCCGCCGCCGCCGCCGCCGCTGCCGCCTGCGCCGCTGCTACCGCCGTCGCCGCCGCCGGCTTGCGCTATCCACTGGGCCTCGCGCCGCCTGCGGCAGCAGGCATGGGGCGGGGAGCGGTGCTGGGTGTCGCCAGCTTGCGGCCTGGGCCGAATCGTGGGGGCGGGGTGACGGCAGGCGGCGCCGCCGCTCTCCTGGGGCAGGGCGGCTCGGCGCCTTGCGGATTCCAGCCCTGACCGCGCCCCTGGGTTGCCCTAGCAGGCCTTTGCCCCGCCCTGTTAAAACGGGCAGCCCTTGCAGTGCCAGCACCCCCCTATCCATGCACGCCTGACGCAGCGGGTGAGCGCACCTTGTAAGCCTGCTATTGAGCCTGCGAGTGCTAAGCAGGCCAAGCGGCCGCATGCTGCTAGACGCGCCGCGTGCAGGGTTTGCATTGAGGGGCCCTGGCCCCCCAGCGCGGCAGACAACCATCACTTGGGCTGCCATAATTACCGATGTGAGAACAGACACGAAATCCAACTTTGACCATGTATGACCCGAGTTTTCCAGTTGGGCCGACCAGCGCCAGATGGCCATCTCCCAGCCTTACTGATGGGGGGAAGAAGCAACCCGGGACACATTGGGCATGGGCGAGCCGAAACAGCAGCTGCCCAGCAGGTTTGATGCTGCCGGACACGGCGGCCGCCCTTGCACCGTCGGCTGCCGACAGCGGCACGCCGTATGTGTGTGTGGCTGTTGTTGGTTGGAGTTCAATCTGATTCAAGTTGAAATAGTCATTTAAGAACAACAAAAGGAATTCGGCAAGAAATAGAAAATGCATCACTTTTTCTGCTGCTCCTTGCCTCCCTCCTCCTTCTGCTCCTCCTTGCCAGTGGCCCACAGCAGCCCCCGAGCCGGCGCACGCATGAGCCAAAGCACAACGTCTGCTGCCCACTGGAGCGGGAAACCGCAGCATGGCACGCAGCACTTGAGGGGGAGGAGGAGGACCCAGACGATGGCGCCGAGCACCCACAGCACTAAAAGGATGGGGAAGCAGAGAATCATCACTACCCAGCGGCAGACGGAGCAGCCCTGCTCCTCGCCCTTGCCATCTGGGCCTGCCGCGGCTGCTGTTGCGCCTGTGGCCGCCGCCGCCGCGCCTGCGCCTGCGCCAGCTGCTGCAGCCGCCCCGCTGTGCATCTCCACCGCTGCGGGAGCGTCGGTGGGCGCTGCGGGCGGCGCCGGGCCAGCTGTGAAGCATCGCTCCACCACGCCCTCCCTCGCCGCCGCCGCCGGCTGCGGCAGCGCGTACGGCAGGCTGCCCACCAGGCGCCTGCCCTCGGGCAGCGCCGGCACCTGGGCCGGCACTGGCTGCAGGTACGCGCTGTCATTCTCCCTCTGCATCCTCCTCTGCGAGTCGTACACCACCCTGTCCAGCTCCTCATCCACCCGCCTGTGGTGCAGGTTGAGGGAGGCGGGCGCCGCCGCGTCAAACCCCGCCGACGCCTTCTTGGCCGCCACCAGCTGCGCGGCGGCGGCCTCCAGGCTCTTCAGCCCCGCCCCGCACTGGTCCTGCTGCTTCCACAGCGCGATGCCGCTGAAGCAGTGCGCATACGCCAGGCAGTACGCCTGCCAGGAATGGGAGAGGGGAGGCAGGGAGGCAGGCAGAGTGAACGGGGCGGATGGCAGAGGCTCGTCAAATCCAGCTTCACGCCACACACCCATGATGCACCGATCTGCGCCTTTCCTGCCGCACCCCTGCTTGCCCAAGCTACGCACAGCCTGCCCACCTGCTTGTACTGTCCATACTGCCAGAGCTTGCCGCTCCGTGCCTCCACCACGGCCGATGATGTCAGCTGCAGCAGCGCGAGTGCGAGGCGGAAGAGGCAGGTGACGGGCACGGCAGCGCATGGGCAGTTGGTAGGCAACCCGCACATGAAGCGCCGCTTGTTGTGTGCAGCTTGCGCCGGAAGCAGCGCCCTCAACTACAGGGCAGCTGCCCTGTGGCAGCGAGCGCACCTGGCTGCATGCCTGGCTGTACAGCGCAGCAGAATCGGCGGCCAGCGAGGCGATCAAGCTGGGCGCATTGCCCTTGGCCACCGCCCGCAGCACGGTGAGCTGCTGCGCGTCTGCCAGCGCCAGCGTGGACAGCGCGCGCAGCACGTGCAGGTCGGTGTCTGCGCCGCCCAGCCCTGCCGGCAGCGCCGGTGCCACGCTCTGCGCCACAAAGTCCAGCATGCCTGCGGCCTGGCGCAGCAGCTGGTACGCGCGCGTGCTGGCCGGGGTGAGAACTCCGGTAGCAGAGTCGGCGCAGGCTGCCGCCGCCGCGTGCATCAGCCGCACCGCCGTGGCCACCAGCACGCTAGCCAGCTCAAACAGCGCGTCGGCAGCGTTCGAGGTGCGGGGCGGGGCACCTGGCGGCGGCGACACCACCGCCTCGCTCCACTCAAAGCGCACCGCGCAGCGCAGCTTGGAGGCGGGCGCTGTCAGGGGCGAGGAGGCGGAGGAATTGCCACGTTCGGCAGCTGACAGCGCCTCGTCAGGCGACGCAGCATTGGCCACATCGGCCGGTGCTCCGCTGTCTCCACTGCCGCTGCTGCTGACCAGGCCGAGCAGGAGGCTAAGGTAGGTGGCCGCCGCATCTGTCACTGCCTGGTCCGACACACTGGGAGACTCCAGCGCTGCAGGCAAGGGGCAGGGTTGGGTGAAGCAGCAGGCAGGGAAGGCAGACGGGTGGGGGCGGGGAGGCGGCGGCGACTGGCACCGCCTGTCGCGCCCCCATCCCCTACCCGAGTTCAGCGCTCCCCGTGCCGCATCCAGGCTTTCCACATATGCCTGGGCCTCCTTGGCGTCTTGCTTTGACAGCCCCTTGTTGATGTGCTTGTCCAGCTGTTTTCTTAGCTGCTGTCCCTTCCTGTCCATCCGCTTGAGCGTAGTGAAGGGGTAGAGAAAAGGATGGATCACGACGGAGTCTGGAGCGCTACCCCCACCTCCCAACCCCTCCTGGCCCGCTGGGGCGGCCTCAGGGGCCTGTGCTTCTATTGTGGCCATGTTGTGATGCAAGGAAAGAGATCAGCGATTGGGAGGCTCTCCAGGCATTCTCTGGCAACACGGCTGGGAGCTGTGGGGCACGTGCACGCTTGCAATCTGAAAATCAGGCCGATGGGCGACCAGAAATGCTAACGCGTCACCGCATTGGTGCCGATGCCCACAGCGCACCTGGCGCCACCTGCTTGCGCTTGGCGCCGCCTGTGAGGCTAGTGGCAACAGCACCCCACTCGCTCAGCCAGGGTCCTTCTAACCAGCCCTGATGATCTTGTCACCATCGATCAACGCTTACAGCACAGCCTGACACTCGCATAGCTAGGCGGCGGGCACACAAGCGACCTCCCGCGCCGCTGCCGCTGCCGCCTGCCTCTCAAACACGCAGCACCTGCGGAAAGCGCGGCGGCGAAGGTGGCTCCTTGGTTGGTGGGTGCATGTGCGTAGGGTGTGTGGTGTGCAAAAAGGGTGGCGGGGAGACCAAAGCAGTGCGGTACCACCACAGCAAGGGAGTTTCCCGCAGCAACCCCACCCAGCTCACCAGTTGTCTTTGTCGTAAAACGAGTCCACCAGGGCGGCGCCCGGCAGGCGGCGCACCAGCCCATCCAGCTCGCCACGCTCGAACAGGTGGTAGTAGCGCTGGAACACGACCGCCCCCTTGCTGCCGTCCAGGCGGGGGCCAGCTGGCGCCCCTGCCCCCGCTGCTTCCCCGGCAGCAGCGTGCTGCCTGGCGCCGTCGTTGGCCTCCCTGGCCGCCGCCGCCGCCTCGGCGCGGTGGAAGGGCAGGTGCCAGGGCACAAAGTAGTCGCCGCTGGCCACTGCAGACCCCTCACCTGCCGCCTGCCCCGGTTGAGCCCCTACGCTGCCCGCGCAAGCCGCCGGCAGCTCTGCCGCGCCTGCCACCCCATCAATCGCCGCTGCCGCGCCCGCTGCCCCTGCCGCCTCTGCACCTTCTGCCAGAGCGCAGCCGGGCGCGGCGACGGGGCGCCAGCCGCGCACCTTGCGCATGTTTTCCTGCTCGGTGGCCCACACCGTGACCAGGGCCCGCCCGCCCGGCCGCAGGATGCGCAGAAGCTGGGCCAGCAGCGCCAGGCGGCGCGAGGGGCTGGCGATGTGGTGCAGCACAGCAATGCACAGCGCGCCGTCGCAGCTGGCCCCGCGGTAGGGCAGGGCCAGGCCGTCGGCCACCGCCACGTCAGCACGCAGCCGCTCGCCGGCGGGCGCCGGCTCCAGCCGCCGCACGGCGACCCTGGCCAGGCCTGCAGCAGGCGCGGGGTGCGGCATCGACTGCGTCACTGCTGGGCGTGGTAACCAGGCCGTCAGCCAGTGGCTCGCGCCCACCCGCATGCAGTCCTCCCGCACCCCACACCCCTCGCTCTCACCCTCGCTGCGGTCACTGCCCAGCACAAACGCGTCCCGCCGCACTCCAAAGTACTTGCCGTTGCCGCACCCCACATCCGCCACCAGCGCCCCCGGCGGCAGCGCCTCCAAGAAGGCGCGCACCCGGGGCCACACCGCAAAGCGGGTGGCCGCAAAGTGGGGGGCGATGGCGTCGTACACGCTGTGCACATACCGCTGCTCCAGGTCCGCCAGCTGGCGGTCCAGGCTGGTACCCAGCGCACCCTGCGAGCCGCTGACCGGGCAGGCCCCATCTGCGACGGCAGCGGGCGGAGCAGGGGGCTGGGCACTCCCCTGTGCTGCTGCTCGCTGGGAATCCTGCTGCTGCTGTTCCTGCATCTGCTCCTGCTGCTGCTGTTCCTGCTGCTGCTCCTGCTGCTGCTGTTCCTGCTGCTGCTCCTGCTGCTGCTGTTCCTGCTGCATCATGCGCTGGAGGGCCAGGCGGGTGGGCTCCAGCGGCGCCAGCTGGCTGTCGCAGAACTGCGGGTAGGGGCAGTCGCAGGGGAAGCCGCGGACCTGCAGGAGGGAGCAGCAGGCAGCAGACAGGTCGCCAGCCGGTGGCAAATGAAAACAATGCCACTGGTGCGCAGCCTCATGTGCAGCTGTTCTCACGCTGTGCGAACAGAGTCACCAGGCACCAGGCTCATAGCTAAAGCTTGCCTGCCTAAATGTGAAGGAGACGCGGCGCTGGGCTCGTGGCACCGCCTGTGGGGCGCCGCCTGGCTGCGCTGCCGCCACCAGGTCTGACTTGCGGTGCGGGATGTAGTGCTGCCAGCAGTAGCGAGCCTCGCCTGCACCGTTCGCAGCAGGCCGGCAGCAGGCTAAGCGCATCAACCCGGTGCAGCAGCACATTGAGCTTACCCCCAGCCACAACGCCTCCATCTCCTCCGGGAATGGAGCAGCGGCGTGCCTGCCAGCTCACCGGCCAGGAGCAGCAGCGAGCGGGGCGGCAGGAACAGCGCTCGTGGCGGCTCCCCGTCCTTGCGCAGCACCATCGCAGCCGTCCCCGCCAGGCTCAGCGACGCGATGGCCCCAGTGAAGGCGGAGTGCGTCTCTGCGGGGAGGCGGGCAGGCACGTCAGCCCAAGCAGAGGCGCCAGCCCACAGCACCCTGGCAGCAACCGCCCCAGGCCCCAGCAGCTCAGGGCCCGGCGCTGGCTCACCCACGTGCGGCGAGATCCCCACGCCTGGCGCATACTCATTCACAGTCAGCTGGTCGACTGCCACAGCGCCCGGCAGCGCCTCGATGCGGCGTGCCACCGCCCGCGCCTCGGCTGGGATGGGGTGCTGCGGCGGGCCGACCCCCCGCGTCTGCAGCATGCAGCGGATGCAGCGGAGGCAGGCAGGAGCTTGAGAGTGGCCTGGGTGGGGCTGAGAGGGCAGGTCCAGGGCAGTTAGCGGGTCCGTCAAAGCGCACCACATGGTCTCTCAGCCACCCCAAACAAGACCGACCACTTCACCTCGTAATCGAACACATGGCCCCAGTGCAGCACCCTGCGCTTGGCCAGGAGGCTCCAGTGCTGCTCGGCGTCAGCCAGCTGCACCAGCGCCGCCTCATCTGCCGGGCTGACGAAGTCGAGGAGCAAGGAAAGGCCCGGGATGCTGCACTCTGCCGCTGTGAGGACCGCCACCACCTGTGCCTCCTGCACTGCTGTTGCAGGGCATCCCTCCTTCCTCCTCTCAGCAAATGCAACCACCAGCGGGCCGTGGCCCCCCAGGGCTGCACTGCAGGTGCCGTTGAGCGCCGCCTGCGCCGCCGCTGCCGCCGCCTCAGTTGCCAGCGTCACAAAGCAGACTGACGCATCCGGGGGGATCGTAAGGATAGCAGCTTGATCAAACTTGCAGAAGAGAGCCCGAATCGCGTGCTGCTGCTCGCTCGGGTTGCCGCAGTTCGCCACAAGCAAGTGCTTCGTCGGGGCTGTGCTGTGGGGACGCCGGAAGGGCCCACGCTCCCTCCCCATATGTCAAACGCTGAAAATCCCCTCATCCCAGGCCTTTTCAGGCCAAGGCTGTACCGCTCGCACGGCGGCTAGGTTCGAGAGGCTCTCCTCCCGCTTCGTGGGCACCCAATTGTTTACACCTTGCCAGACCCCTCGCCCCGGCTGCTGCTACCCGCCGCCGATTTCTACAGGTGGGCCTTGCGCGCCGAAGGACTCGTTTGCCCTGGCCGCAGGCTGCTGGTCGGCTGGGTTTAGACTGCTGATCCGGCTGCGGCGCCCGCTGCAGGAGAAGCGAGGTCGCCACCGCCGCACCGGCCGCCGATCACCGCGGGATCACCGCCGCTTGCAGCAAAGCATAGCGAGCAAATCCAATGGCAGCAAATCCTCCGCTGTGCCAAGACCCCTACTATGGGCACACCTTCCCTCTGCCCTATCATGGCGAGCAAATCTGTCTGTCGCGCGGCTGCATAGACATCAAGCTGGAGGGGGGCGCGCTGCGGACACGCGGCAACAAGTGTGTGGCTGGCTTTGCGGAGGCATGGGGCTGCTTGGTTTGCCGGTGGAGGCTTCATTGCGTTGCAGAATAGGTCTGCGAGTGCGCTGTGGGTACCGCTGCTTCCCTGTGGTTGAGAGTGAACATGTGTCCGCAGGTGGTCGGCACGCGGCACCGCATTCCTCAGGTGTGTTTTTTATAGCCACTTCAATTCAGGGTTTAGGCATCAGTTGTGGCCTTACTGCTGCCTAAATTGCACCTATGCTTCTTTTTTTCGGTGGTGTCCCTGAAAGTACGCTCCCGCCCGCCTGTGTCGCAGCAACATGCGGCTGTGCTTTGTGGCGGACAAGCCCGACACGTCGTCGGGGCTGCACGCGTTTGAGCTGCCGCTGGCCTTCATCACCGACGAGGACTTCAAGCAGCCCATATTCAACGCCAACAACTTGAGCGGCAGGTGCGCGGTGCGTGCGGCGCAGGCAGCACAGACAGCCCCTGCGTGCCAGTGCAGATGGCGTTTGCTGACGCGCGCCGCCTGGGCCCCTGCGTGCAGGTGCTTCATGGTGGATGGTGGCCCGGCAGGCGGCGAGGCGGTACAGTGGACGCTGTACTTCAAGGATGGCGGCGTGGGCACCTTCATCCCATTCTTCTTCAGGTCCTGCGCCTACGTGCGCAGCATAGCCAGCAGGATGCAGCAGCAGCAGCAGTACCAGCAGCCGGCAGGGGTGGGCTACCCGCCGCCGGCCACCGCCGCGCCCGAGGCGGGGGCTGCGCCGCCCCAGCAGCTCCTGCAGACGGCCCTGGTGGACCCCAGTGGTGAGCCCGCTACCGCTGTGCTGGCTCGATTGCGCTCCCTGCATGCTGGTGCATGCTCGGTGCGCATGGCCGGCCCTGCATGTGAGGCGGCGCAGCCAACCGCCACGACACCCTTCTCACTGAGGCGGCTGCCCCTGCTGCCATCCCACAGACCCCACCAAGGTCTACCTCACGCAGCCCCTGGACAGCAGCCAGCAGCGCGACGACGCACCCAAGTTCCCAGCCCCGCTGGTGTAGCCGCCCAGGCCACTACAGTGTGGTACTGGAGCGGCCCTGACGTGACAAAGCTCCCCACTGCATCCCTGCACTAGCCCCCCACCCTCCACACCAGGGGGGGTGGACGAGGTTCCTGCCTAGGCTTTTCATGGGCAGGGCCCATTGCGTTGTAGCTGCTGGCTGTGCTGCCCGGCCTACAGCAGTTGTACCTAGTCCCACACCCTGCATGTAAACTGCTGCCCCATGCGCCTGCCTTTTGATGTGTGTGGCTGAACAGCTCAGCTCAGACTCTGCGTTTCCTATGTTTGCTGTGCAAGTAAAGGGGGCACTCCACTTTATATATACTCTCAGGTGTCGCTGTCCAAGTCGATTGCGGAAACAACGACGGTAGCGTTTTCGTTCTGCGCAAACAGGATGCGCAGCCGGCGGCCCTTTCGCGGCGTTCGCTGGGGGCCTGGCATGCTCTCATCATTGCAAGCGCCTGGCTGCGGTGGGACGCACGGCTCTGCTGCTGGGTCTGGCGCTCCGGGTCCTTCCAACACAAACACCTGCTGCCCCCCAAATGTGGACAGCTGGCGGTTCAGGGCGCCGTGCCAGAGGATGTGGGCAACATCCGCCTCTGTCATGTCTCTGCGCCCAGGCACTTGGCGGCTTGTCATCAGGTGAGCTGCATGCAAGCCGGCCAGCCGCGCACAAGTGGCAGAGGCAGGCTACCTGGTGGCGAGGCGCTCGCGAGCGTGGGCGGTGAGGACGAGCGGACGGCGGCGGAGCCGTTTCTTTATTGCTGCCTCCTCAGCTTGGGCAGTGCTGGCTTTGTTCTGCCGATCTGTGGGCCTGCGCTTGCCCTTCCCGGCCTGGCAACAGGGCGGCGTGCTGCTTGTACGACACCGCAAGCATGAGATCAAACGCGTCTGCATCGTGACCCGCAGGAGCCTGGCCTCAAACACCAGGCACCTTGCTACCATTGCGGAGGAGGGAAGCCTGCAGGGCGTTCGTGGGCGGCGGTCGGCAGTGGCGGTCCGCAACAGGCAGTGGCGGCTCACCAGCTGGGGTGCTCAGCATCTCACAATCACCTTCCTCAGTCCTCCATGCAAACAGGTACCCAGCTAGCCGGCTACAAGGTGATGCTGTTTGAAGGAGACCAGGGGCTCGCTGTTCAACAGATTTACCAGTGTGTCGATCGATTAACTAATCAGCTCAATCAACTGAGCAGCGTCAAGCCCGCGCTGCCGCGAAATGCAACTGTACCGGGTGTAGTGCAACGCGCCTTTGCGCGAAACTGAAGCTGAACGATCGGCCTTGGCGATCGATTCAATTGCAGTGCAGGGAAACAGGTCACCAACAGCTGCTGCCTACCAATCTGCTGCACCTCTTTCGCCCGCATTTTGCTATCCTGGCGACGCATTCCCCTCCCTAGTGGGCACGGACGCCAGCACCGAGCCTCCGCCTGCCTGCCACTGCTTGGCGTCCACCCTGCCGCTGGCCGGCCCGCCCGCCCGCCCACCGGTGCTGCGGCGGTTGGTGCTGCACTAGCTACGAGCCCCACCAGCCTACATCCCTTGTCCAATGTGGCGCCCCGGCGCCCCATTCTCCTTTTGGTTGCTAGGGGTGGGTGCCGTTGCGGCTTGCTTGCTCAAACACCCCGCAAATCGCGCTGCTCGGAGGCCGCGATCGCTCACGGGCCGAACCAGCGACCCCACTCCTCCTCAACGCAGCCTTGTGCTCACGCTTGCCGTCCCCTCCCGCTCCCTGGCAGGTGGCGGTGTCCATTGGCTTTGTCGCCATCTGCTCCGAGCTCTCTCGGCTGGCCGCTGCATGGGGCAACAACGTGCTGCTGAAGATCAACATCTGCTTCTACCTCCCCAGCGTGCCGCTGCTGCTCCTGGGCGCCACCTTTGACGAGCACTTTGACCAGCGCTACGGCAAGCGCCGCACCAACACGTTCCGCGTGGCTGCAGGTGCGGGCTGCGTGCCAGGCTCATGCATGAAAGCAACTCTGGCCTGCCTGCCGTGTTTGCCTGCCCTGCGCTCCACCTGCTGCCGCCGCCTGCACATTCCTTGCCCTGCGTGTGCAGGCTTTGGCGGCTGTGCCGCGGTCCTCCTGGCCTTCCCATTTGTCCAGGGCCACCTGCTGTGCTTGCTGGGCGCGGTGGTGGCGCTGGGCGTGTTCAGCGCGGCAGCAGCCGGCAGCAGCTACCAGCTGGCCACGCAGCAGGACGACGGCGGCAGCGCCACCGTGGCGGTGGCCCTGGGCTACGTCAGCTCGGCTCCGGTGGTGCTGCTGGTGGAGGCAGGCTGGCGCATCGGGCCCCTGTGCCCCTGGCACAAGGTGCTGGTGCTGTATGCCACGGTGGCGGCCATCACCGCGGCAGCCCTGGCGGCAGCCATGGCCATTGTGCGGCGGCAGCAGCCAGCCCAGGAGCCCCTGGTTGAGCCGCTGCTGCATGAGTGGGCGCAGCCCGAGGTGCACGCCTGGCTGGCAGAGGGCATCGCCGCGTCGTCCACCGCAGCAGCCGCCGCCGGCGCGCGCTCCAACCACGTCGCCGTAGACGACGACGACGATTCGGTGCTGCTGGATGGCGGCGACGCCGCCGGCGTGCAGCGCACGCTGCTGACCACGCTGTGGCCCGCCGCGGCCTCCCTCAGCATCAGCATCGCCACCTCCATGCTGCTCTTCCCGCTGTTCCCCCACTTTCGCTCCTCTGGGGCTGTCGGCCACACTATGCTGCCGGTGGTGCTGTTCTGGGTGCGCGCCCTTGCAGACATCGCTGGCAGGCTGCTGCCAAAGCTGGCCAGCGGGCCGCCGCCCGCCGCCGCAGTGCTGTCGGTGGCTGCCCTCAGGCTCTTGCTGCTGCCGCTGCCCCTGCTGCGCATTGCCGGCCACCTGCCTGCGCCGCTGCAGAGCGACTGGCTGCTGGTCGCGTTTGTGGCGGCGCAGTGGCTGGCCGGCGGAGCAGTGAATGTGTGGGCCTTCCTGCTGCTGCCACGCCTGGTGCCGGCGCACCTGGGCCCACGGGCCGCCTCAGTCATGACGCTGACCTTCAACACCTCCTGCCTGGCAGGCCTGCTGCTGGCCATCCCAGTCCAATCCCTCATCTCCTGAGTTTTCTCCTGGTGCTGCTTCCTCACACGATTTGCTGTCCGATTTTCCTCGCATCTTGTTCGAGCGTCCTGCCCTGTTCTGCAACCGCCTTTGCATTGCAATCCCAATCGGTTCAGCTGTACTTTACAAAAATTCGGTTCAACAACAGTAGCACTATGCGTACGTGGGCATCTGTTTGGGGCACATGCAAAGCCAGGCTGCACAGGCGGGGCGGGAGTAACCTGTGGACCGGAGAGGAGAGCAAAATCGCATGGCCGCGCTTGCCGCTGCCATGCTCAGCAAAAGTGGGATGCATTGTCGTTCTGTGGTGGCATTGATCACCGCCAGGCGTGCAGACGCCAGAAGGCCGGGGTGCGCTCACACGTGCGCGACGCCGGGCGGCTGGTACAGGTGCGGCCCATCAGGCGCCGCTTGCTGCTGGCCCGCGCCGTACGACACGCCGCCGTCTGGCTGCTCCACCACGGCCCCCGGGATGGGCACCGCCTGGAACACGGCGTACACCTCGGGGTGGGACACGGTCTGGCTGTCGCGGTCGATGGCCCAGCAGATGAAGACTGCGCAGGGGTGAGGGGGGCAGGGAGGAGGTGAGGGGTGGCGCCTGGGGTGCAGGTGCAAGTGTGCAGCGAATGGAGCAGCAGCTGGCTGCCACCAACAGCAAGCTCCCCCACCCGCTGCGCCGCGCCGCGCCCCGGCCCGCCCCGCTCTGCCCCACCTGCGTCCAGCACGCTCAGCAGGATGCCCCCCAGGAAGGACAGCACAAACTGGGTGATGAGGTAGACGGATGCGCCCAGGATGGCAGCGTTGAGGCCCGGGGTGGCCTCCACGCCGGCGCTGGAGCGGTGCAGGTACCAGTACGTGCCCCCCGACAGCAGGGCCCAGCCCAGGGACAGCATGAAGCAGGCCATGCGGATGACCATGGGGGTGAACCAGATCGTGGAGGCAAAGGCGTTGAGCAGGTTGCGCAGCAGCAGGTCGGTGACGTGGCGCCCCGCCGCCACAAACGCCTCCCCCGTGATCGCCATCATCACCGTGGCAAACTGGCAGGGGAGCGGGTGGGGTGGGCGCAGCAGGTGTGGGTATGTGTGAGCGAGGATATGTGTGCGGTGGCAGCTGGGACACACGCAAGCTCAGCGCAGCCAGCTCTCCCTCCTCGCACCCCTCTGCCCACGCATACGAGCCCCTACCCGCCCCCACCTCAGCGCCTCCCGCCTCCCACCCTGCCGCCCCACCTTGGTGATGTACTCCAGGATGGACAGCAGGCACTGCGCCAGGCAGATGAGGCACACCTTGACCAGCATCAGCGCGTTGAACTCGCGCTCGCTGTCCCGCTGCTGAGCGCTGCGGGGCGGCAGGGAGGCAGCAGCGGGGCCGGGGGTGCCGGCGGGTGGGAAGGGGGGCGGTGCATCATTCAGCGGGCATGCACGGCTGTGCGGCAGCACCGGCGGGGCGCGGCAGGTGCCTCCCCATCAACCGGCGTGGCACTACTATATGGCCCCACCCCGCAGCCCCTCTGGCCCCTCCCCCCTCCCACTCACTTCTCCATCGCGCTGCGCAGCATCTCCGACACGGTGAGGACGAGGGAGGAGAGGCAGAGGGAGCCAAAGGAGGGGCCCATGGCGTGCTTGAAGGACAGCAGGGTGGTGCCGCGCGGCGCGCACAGCGCGTCGGGCGGCGCAAAGTACCACTGAGCCACTGCGCCCGACGTCACAAACACGCGGATCTGGTTGGCCAGCAGCATGGTCCACAGCAGGGTCACCATGCCCCCGGCTGCACGGCGGGGACAGGCAGGCAAGGCAGGCGGGCGGGTGTGCGAGCGTCACGGCAGGCGAGCTGGCAGGCGGCTGCCCGATCAGGGCGCGACCTCGCTTGGGCTGCGTTCCACAAATGCAGGCCCCAGGCCGCCGTCCCGCCTTTCTGCCTCCCTGCACGCTTGCTCCACTCACACATGTACACTTGGGCGTATGTGTTGGGCTGCCAGGAGCAGCACAGGACCTGCTGGCCGTCGGGGGTGATGCACGTGGCGGCGCCAGGGTCGCGCGAAGGGTTGGGCACCGCCTTGCCGTTCATGAAGGCAAAGCCTGCACGCCAGCGGAGGGGGCACAGCATTGTATTGGGACATGGCGACACGCAGTAGCGGGTCGGTGCGTGGTGTGCGCGGATTGCACACCCAGCGCAGCATTGCCCAGACGAGAGCAGGCAGGAGTCCTGGGCGCTTCCTCCTGGCTGAGCCGCTCTGCCCAAGGGCCTTGGCCCCCCATGCAGCTTGCTCACCCAGGAACACGCAGAGCGGGGCAATGGCGACCATGGAAGCGACGTTGAGCGCGATGGTGGCGGTGATGACTCCCGGGTTGGCCGCCAGGCCGTGCGCAGACACGCCCAGCAGGCGCGTGGCCAGCTCAATCTGTCCGCGCCACAGGTAGAAGACAAAAGCGGCCAGGGCGGCCACCCCGCCAAACAGCAGCCCCACAAGAGGCTGGCCGGTGACAACGCAGGCCAGCGCCGCGGCGGCGGGGAACTGCGAGGGGGGGGGGGGGGGGGGGGGGCGGCCGGGGGGGGGTTTTTTT